GGAAAACGTGATGGGTTTACTTTCGTACTGGTGAAATGAAGAGCGCTTGGAATATTTTTCCACTTCACATGAGGGTAATTTATTCGTACAGATGGTTGAATGAGTACGTCCCACGGAATGATTAAAGTAAACACACCATCACCGGAGGGACCACTGTTATTGTGCGTTGAAATTTTCACAATGTAACGGTATTTTGAGGTGTTTTCTCATACAAATTTGATTGTGTTATATTTGTCGTCTTACCTTTGGCAAATATAACGCTTTCACAGTTGGAAAATACGCCTACAGGGGTGCAAAATGTTAGCTAGGTGTGGCTTAAGATTTCAAGATATTGTTTATATATCTTAGTCTGTAAGCGTACTAAGTATATTTTAGAGCCTATGCCGACGCCGTAAACGCGCGTCATCTGCACGCATACACGCCGCAGACGCGCTGTCGTCGCGCACATTTCGATAAAAGATAGTTTTAGATTATTTTTGTTTGTAAAATTCAAGTAGTTTTTTGAAATGAAGTTGTATGATGTTATCGTTGTTTTGATTATTTGAATGAAATTGTAAGTGTAAACTCTAGTGGAGTATAATAATAATTTTCAAATTGGGGCGCCTTTTTTACGTCGCGTCGTCGGCGCGTATAAAATGCGCTGTGTGCGTAGGCTCTTAAGTATTCGAATAATAATAACGCGCACACACTCATAGCCCGCACTAGGGAAACCCTGTATCGCAGGTGCCATGGACACACACATAGACAACCACAAATTATACCCAAACTTACGAGAGAAATAAATGTAGGCCATACAAATATATCTACCGGCACGGGAATTGAACCGGGGAACTCTTGTGGTTCAGCATGATAACCGTTCGGCCATGGAAGCAGTTTCGAATCGCAGGTTATGTTAAAGAGATGAAATTGATTTCCAGCGACAAGTTGCCCAAACACGTGTGCAAAGTGGATGTGGTACAGGGTGAAAAGCACGTCAAGCTTGACACTTAAGATTTAAATGCAACTCTATGCCGCTTATGCTGCTTACGATAAGAACGGTCCAAAGTACAAAGTGTCATTGACGTGCTCTTGACTGTACCTTATAGTCAGCCACGCTATTTTTCTTAAAGTAAATTGCATTTCCATCTAATATTTACTGTGACGTTACTATTGTTAACGTTCTTACAATGTTAACCACACTACCAATAAAAATTGATACACAAAAACAAAAATCTCCGTCAGTTATTTACAGATTTTTGAAATCATGTACTACTCACATAAGAGCTCTTTACATAAAACCCAATTTACTTTATCACTCAATCAAAGGGTATAAGACCCGTAACAGAAGTTAACAAAGTCCAAATTCAATAAAATAGTAGTTTATTAGGTAAAACGTTAACGTAGTTTACTTGTACAGTACCGCTGAGAGCGTCTGAGTGTTTGCACGAGCTTTGAAAACATTATGCCATGTGCACACAATTTTTTTAATCACTAAAATATATATACGCTAGTAGTAAAAAACCTTAAATAAAAATTTGAGAAACCAGCATCTGCAAGCCAATTACTCGTCGAGATCAATTTAATAATAATAATAATAATCTTAATCTTTTAGGCTTGGGAAAGGCGAGAGTGTAAAACAGTTATAAAAATTACAATAACGCACACACTAGCGTGACCCCGCACTAGCAACCACAAATTGCACCCAAAACTCACTAGAGAAATATTTGTAGGCCCTAAAAATTTTTCTCCCGGCCTGGGAATCAAACCCGAGACGTCTGTGTGGCATTCCGGCATGGAAACCGTCCGGACACGGATACAGTTAAATGTTAATGAGCTCTGCTGTTGGGTAGTCTGCAGACCAGGATAGGCTGCAGCATCAGATCAAGGTACTGTACCTAGGACGTAGCTAGCATATTATACATATTATTGTAAAATCATCGATTTACCATATTTATATTTATTCCATACCAAATTTGAAGTCGATCAGTAATAAATAAATAGTTATAACCGCAGTAATTTTTGGCCGTACTGTATCTATGTTATGTTTATCCTTTTTCTAATATTCAGTTACAATCTACCACTCCTATTTTAACTCATATATTATGTTCTCCTGGCTGAGTACGTTGTTCTGTAAGAAGAGCGCTACAGTGACTGTTATCACAACCGTATCTTGTGTGACACACCCACGGTATAAGTTCACAGGATCCAATTTTCAGTTTTGAACATCTAGTTTTTCTTGTGTTGGTATGCATACACAGATAAAGAATTTGCTGCTATTTATGTCGTTCCAAAAGTGTCTATATTCATTAATGAAAACAAGATGTTTTCTAAATAAAGTTGTTTTACAATTGCGTTCTTATGCGGTAAGTAAACACCTCATCGAGATTCAATTAAGTTAATTTTACCTGGATTAACTAAGTTAAAGTTAAGGTTTAAATTTAGATAAAAGTCTATAAATAGTAGTGGCGGATAAAGTCGCTGTTAATACCCGTGTAAGGGTGGATTTCACCAAATTCGAGTAAGGTTTATTCCAAGAATAAGACGCTATTTAAGTGATTTTAATTACTAGCGTTTTATTCTGTGTATTGGTATTATGTAAATGAGTACAGTATTATAGAAATGAGTACAAGCTATTATAAACTTGTGTTCAGCTGTTATAATTTGTATACGCTATAAAGCCCGAATTTTGATAAATATGATGTGAAATTTCCCATGTATTAAGTGTATTATTGTCATAATCCGAGAAATCAATATTTCTTAAACCTCATAATTTAATATACAAAACTCTGTAAATATAGGTCCAGTTTGTGGATTCTATAATTTCCATTAACAACTGTACATACATGTAGAAGCTTAAACTAAGAAAAGTGATAATTCCTTGTAGCAGTTTATGATACCTACTCATAAAGCAGTAGAGCTCTTTGTGAAAGAGTTCGTCCAGGGAAGTACTGCCACCTATTTGCCTATTTCTGCCGCCTATTTCTGCCGCCAAGCAGTAATGTGATAATTACAGCGTTCCGGTTTGGAAGCGTAAGGGTAACTGCTTGGCGTCAGAAATAAGCATGGTGACAGTAGTTCCCTGGACGAATTCTTCCACAAGGAGCTCTACTGCTACTAGACATTGAGATCCCAACCGCATCGGTTGTGTTTTTTATATTTAATGTTGTTATTCTCATATTTTATCCTAATTATAATGTTTTGAATTTGACGTACTTTTAGATAACATTAAAACTTCAAAAATACTGACAAAAATATTCATTCAGTAACTACAAAAAAATTTAGTTACAGTGAATACGCAGCTTAACTCCTGTCAGAATTGTCGTAGCAAAGTTTCATATCGGATTGAATGGTGTCGGGAATCATTGAGGCGTGTGCGGAAACGAGATGCACTCGGCATGAGTGCCGAGCGAAACGTTTTTAATTTTTTAGCCTTTTATTTTTTGGGAAACAATGCTCAGTAAGTGATTTTGATCGGTTCGTATAAACGTAAAAGGGTATCGCTTCAATAACGTAGGTTAAAACTTTATAATTAAAACTAATGCAATCGGAACTGAAAAAGGTACTTACTGTGTAACTATATTTTTTTGATGTGTCTCGTCCTACTTCTTGTTTCGGCTTTCGTAGTGTTACCTACTTAAGTGATTATGTCTGTATATTAAGTACATTTTGACATCAAAAATGATATTTTATTTCTACTTAGCGATGGAAAAATGTACGTTTTTGAAGCCCGTTTAGATTTAAACATTTAACAAGACTTTGTGAAAGCATTACTCAGCGGTAGGTTTCTTCATTTTTTACAATATCTACTGCACCACTATTATCGCAGCGTATATACGTCCACTACTACACATAGTTCTTTTCCAAAAACCGTCGGATTGATTTGTCTGACTTTGCTAATATCATCGGTGTACTTGATAGCACTACAGGCACACACCACGTTTTTCAGGCTGCCATTAAATTGTTTGTCAGTTACTTGATTAGCATAGACACTGCCACTTGATATCAATATGTACTATATTAAATGCATATTCATTAATATTAAAAATTTAAAAGTTCGTGCTGTCTTGACCGTTACATTGTCTATTTAAATAAAAAAGTCGTGTATTTTACAATAATAATAATTAATTAACCGACTTAAAAAAGAGGAGATTCTCAATTCGGCTGTTTTATGAACAGTTTCCGATGATTTTTTTGTTGGAAAGGGAGTACTTACTTACCGCCTGCTTGAACGAGGCGCCATCTTTCTTTTTGTCCATATATGGCGCCACTGAAAACCAGCGTAATGAGGCGTTCTTCAACGTCTCATTACAAAAAGCTGAGTGGTGACCGTTTTGGTAACATATAATGTATGATTGTGTTTGTTTTGTATTATTTATTGTAAAATGTTGCCAAATAAATTATTTTTCTTTCTTTCTTTCTTTCTTTACTTCAGTAGTGGTCCCGTTAAAATTTGAAGAAAATATGGCACAACTAAAGGTGGAAAGTTAGGGATGAATCCGGTTTATTGGACTTTCTTTCCGCTAACCGATTTAAATGAAACTTGGTATATAGATGTAATTCTACAAACTTTCGTGGCCGGTTATTTTTTTAATAAAAAAGTTATTATTATTTTTACAATAACACAGAGATCTAATAAAAAGAAAAGATAACAATTCTTTATACCAGTTCTCGAATGATAAAAATCATTCATATACTTTTATTTTTTTCAGTTTTAATATCTTGGTCATTGTTCGGTTGTTATATGTGTGTGATTTTATTACCTACGTCCCACTTTTGAGCATGACCCTTTGCGGATTAATTAGATTGGATGTTTACCAAGCAGAGTTTTACAACTTCTCAGACATGTAAGTAGTGACTCGTTACAAACTAAAAACAACTAAGCACGAATGAACAAACAACATTCTCGCTTAAATTTCAACGTGCATTAAACATTTCATAGGCATTGAAACGATTATAAGGACTCACAAAGAGCCCATATTTTAAAAGTTGCTTGTTGCATGAATGAGTTTGGTTAGCGTGAATTATCCTCTCATATTGAAGGGTAACTTTTGTTCTTTAGAGAAACTTTCTATAGAAGGAAAAATATAATTATATATAATTATAGATTTATCGACGCGAGACGTGGTCAATTACAAAGAAAGACAATGTGGTGCTGGAGGCGAATGAAAAAAATCAAATAAATTGAGAAGATATCAAATGAAGAAGTTTTAAAAAGGCTTAGGGAAGAAATAAGTCTTTTGAATACAATAAAGGAACAGAATGTGAAAATGTTTTTATTCACAAATTTAATGTTTAAATTTGTGAGAATTGTAATTAAGGGGAAAATAGAAGGAAAGATGGAAAGAAGTGAACAAGACACAACGTATATTTGTCTGTCATTAAAACTGTCAAATGGCCGCTTGTAAGTTAACCCTTGATCATGACCCTTTTAACCCTTTTAGTAGCAGTAGGGTTTCTTGTAAAACAAGGAGGTCGTATTGCCACCTTACCTATTTTTGCCACCAAGTAGTAATGTGAGCATTACTGCGCTTCGGTTTTGAAAGGTAACTCCCTGTCGGGGATTTCCCACAGGACTGCAGCATGGATACCTTCAAAATGGGTTTGAAAAGGGTCCTGAAGCTTTGGCAACGCGCTCGTGAAGCCTTTGGTGTTGCAGGCGTTCATATGCGACGTTGACCGCTTTCCATAAGGCGGGCCGGATGTTTGTTTGGTATCTAAATAATATAAAATACAAAAAAATTGGTAAGGGTGTTCGTGAAGTTACAGGGGCATGGGACTTTTCAACTTATGTTTCAGGGTAAAGGGCGCAGTAGCAGTGCCCCTTAGGTCTTTGAGATTTAAAGCACTGCAACTGTTATGGACTGGCGTGACGCTTACTACCAGGCGTACGACCTGTTCGTTCCGTCACTTGGTACCATAAAAAAATTAAGCGTGAAACCGCTGTGAAGTAAAGGGAGGAGAATAAAAAATTACGTCGTAAGAAACATGGATAGTTATATTAATTAGTAAATAATAAAGAATGTTTATAAAAAATCTTGCTGTACAATGGTTATCATACATTTTACTACCAATATTGATAGAAGCAAATCGTTACATTACTTTCTAAATGTGTTTTCTAAGGTTTTCTATGTTACCAAGTTTCAGTGCAACGTCAAAATACTCGGTTGTTGCTGTTTTGAAATAAGATGTTGGTATCAAAGTTATACGGTGCAATTTGGTGCCGTGCCATATACTGCAGTATTTCATATGCAAACCCGGACTCACGGTGGACCGAACTTTGAGGTAAACTTGGCTGGATTTTACCTGCGGTAGTGTGGCCATTCTGTTTGGTGTTTTATGCATATTTCTTTAGTTTCTCGTATCAAGTAACATAAAAGTCCTATTTTAAGCTCCAAACCTTGTTATATGAGTTTTCTGTAAGAGTATATACATAGTAAGTTAAATAGGCAAGACAAACTTAATACATTGTATTAAGAGTGTCTTTTATTTGTTTGGACAAACCGTCCAATTAGGCAGAGCCAACTTCGAGAAAGAGGGCAATCGTCGAATCCGACTCGAGTGGGCAGCTTTCGGGAAGCTCCCGGACGTCTTCTCGTCTGCAATACCGCAGTCCTTGAAGACAAAAGTCTTGGAGCAGTTCGTGTTGCCAGCGATGACCTACGGCTTAGAGAGGTGGTCACTTACAATGGACCTCATAAAAATGCTCAAAGTCATTCAATGAGCTATGGAGCGAGCAATGCTCGACATTTCTCTACGTGAACGAAACAGAAGTGAGAAGATCCGTAGAAGAACGAAAGTCGTGTCGGTGACTCAAAGGATTAGAAATATATAGTCTGGAAATCTTTGGGGGAGGCCTATGTTCAGCAGTGGACGTCTTCCGGCTGATATGTTGCGAGCATTTGTGTAAGATGTACTTAAGTTTAGTGCAAGTGGACATAAGTATAATAAAAGAAAAAAAAATGCTGGAAGTACAATGGACAAGAGCATGTCAAGTTTCACACAAAAATATTAAATTGAACTCTATGCAGCTTGCTATAAGAGCGGTCGAAATTTCAAAGGGTCAATCTTGATGCGATCTTGACTGTACAAATGCTCTACATAATGATAATAATAATAATAACCCCGCACAAAGGAAACCCTGTATCGCGTGTGCCATGGACACACATAGACAACCACAAACTACATCGAAACTCACGAGGGAAATAAATGTAGGCCATCCAAATATTTCTCACGGTCCGGGAATCGAACCTGGGACATTTTCACGGCTGTCCAGCATGATAACCGTTCGACCACGGAGGCAGTTATAACGTAATAAATATGTTTTTTTTTGCCCCGCACTAGTTTGTTGTGATATCCGAAAAATATCGATATTTCTTCTAATTTGCTATTTTGTTATTACCTCTGCTGAGTCATAACGACGGTTGCTAAAATACACCTTTGCCTTCTTAGATGGACGTCACAGTCGCTATATTGTCTGATATTATACTTGCATATACTAATTTACTACTTATTATGTAAAATTATGAATGAATGAATGAATGATTGAATGAAATATTCTTTATTGCACATAAAATTACAATTAAAATACAATACAATAGCTTAAGTATAATAGTAGTAGTAAGTCAATGTGCAACAGGCGGCCTTATTGCTATGTAGCAATTTCTTCCAGGCAACCTTAGGATAGACATTTCGGATATGCAAAAGGGGTGCAACCAAAGAATATCATCATAAGTACACTACATAATAAGTAATAATAAAAATATATACATATCCATAGATTAATATACATATACATACAAATAACAATAATATTATTAATACATACATAACAATAAATACACAATAATATTAAATGCTTTTATACTTTTAATAGAAAAAGAAAAATGAAGTACAAATGTAGGAAATAAATGAAAGGATAGTAGAGAACAGACGAAATTTAGGAGTTGAGGAAGTGATCCTTGACACGTTGTTTGAAGGAATCAAGAGAAGGGGATCGTCGAATCGATTCAGGGAGAGAATTCCACAATCTGATCGCAGAAATGGTAAAAGAGTTCAGAGGAGCGAAGGGGACGACAGAGTGTAGAAGAGTGGAAAGTAAAGCGATCTTTAAGATAAGAAGGCGTAAAGGGATAGAACAGAATTGAATAGAGAAGTGAAAGAATATGAAGATCTCTACGCCGATGGATGGGCAGCCATTTAATTTGTGCGCGAAATTGGGAGACATGGTCAAATTTACGTAGTCCGAAGATGAACCTAACACACATATTTTGGAGCCGTTCCAATTTATTGAGCAGAGTTACTGACAAATCTGGGTAGCAAACATCTGCATAGTCCAGTATCGGGTGGAGAATGCTCTGGGCCAGAGTAATTTTGGTTTTAGTCGGCAAAAAGTTTTTAAGCCTTCTCAGAGAGAAATGCGCACCAAACACCTTCCTGCTAACCTCAGCAACTTGCGGCTTCCAAGTCAGACATTTATCAAAAATTACCCCCAAATTCCTGACTGTATCCAAATAAGGAATACAGACACCATCGAAAACCACAGGGGGTAAGGAGGCTAGATTTAGACGAGAATTGAACCAAGTGCTACCTATAGTAATCGATTGTGTTTTGGATGGATTAACTTTAAGGCCAAAGGACTGACTCCATTGACGAATGGATTCAAGGTCCACATTGGTAGTACTAATGGCACGTGGTAAGTCTTGAATAGACGACTGGGTGTAAATCTGGAGGTCATCAGCATAAAGATTATATCATTTTTTAATTTATTTTAGCTTGTGGTAACCCCCGTTAAGTATCAAGTTGGCAAAAATATATCCGCGGTTGGAAAAACAAGTGAATCAGGGGCTACAAAGTCGTAACATAGTTCTAGTTGTCCCCGACCTCATTTTAAGGTTCCCAAATGCACTGCTAAGAGAGACTTCAATAGAACGCGTGGTAGTTAGTTGTAAGGATGGTTAAAACTATTCTCAAAAGTTAGATACCTTACACATCTTTCAAGAATTAAAATAACCGTAATTGATAGAATCAGGTGTTACTTTGCGGAAGTCTATGTTAATAAAAATTGAAATAAATGAAGAGTATATTTTTGGTGGTGGTGTCTGTGACTGTAGTTGCGCTAGTGTTTTTTTTTTATTGATTTTATGCGGTGTGAAGGTGAGAATAACTGCTTGAAAAAATATTCAACACAAGGGCAGTTATTTCGCACGATATAACCATCACTGGGTTCGTTGATAAGAAATATTAATAATTTGCTTCCATTTTTCTTAAATTAACCGTTTCCGGCAAGTTAGGGCCAGCGAGAAAAAGCGGACGGCATTTATGCCCGCCCGCGCACACTGATCAGGGATATCGCTTACGATGCCGATGCGTTCGCTAGCGTACCGCAGAATCCGCCGGAATGTCGCGGCGTTAGTCGATGTGATACCGGTCGCTCAGATTTGACTCCGTTCCACTAGCGACTACGCAATCTGATACCGGTGCATTTCGGTGGATTCAAACGCATATTGCCACCTCGCGTCAACGTATCCTATAGCATGTGCTTCAATACCATAGACAAAAATGCGATGCGATTCTTATTTATACCTTATTCCAATTGAAATGCTGTATTTAGATGCTTTCCCGTCTGCCGGTTTGCGTTGACCGTTAGTTTCATTACTTTTCCTTTACTGCTAAAAGCAAGTGAATATTGTAATCATTGTAACAATCTGCTAATACGACAATGACTCAGTGGTGTAAGCTCCTCGGTGGTAATCAAACTCAGAATTCGTTAGTTCTCTAAATTTCTTATTTTGCCTTCATTACTCACACATTTTTAGGATTCTGCAGTTAATCTAGGAGCAACCATTTCAGTTTCTTTTTTTTTCCTATCTGTCCGTCTGTATTTCATCCGTTTATGGGCCTATTGCCGTGAAATTTGGTGTAAAATCATATTATATTGATGACTAAAAATAGAAATAAAAGGATTTTTTGCTCCTTCCGTTCTAGGAAAAAGACAACAACAAAAAACGAATTAGGTACGCCTAACCATCATAAAATTTGTTCTTATTAGAGAACATTACCGGTAAACAAAAATATCACCGCTTTTCTTGGAGAACAAAACGTTAAAGTTCGAAACGAAATTCAATTGCGAAAATTGCACGGGAAAATTCCTCGTGTTGTTGCTATGAAAATTCTTGCAATTGTTTATTAATACGTAGTAAACTGCATAATGGGAATCGGGAAATAATTTTCCACCACAAAAGCCAGCTAAAATATTCGGGCATAAAATACAACCGGTATTTCGCCGCAATACATTTACATGGGTTGTATTGTCTTTATGCGAACACATATTTTGGCGAGCTATGTACAGCATCCCAAAAATATCAAAATGAAACTACATTTATATTCCAATGGCAAGTTTATATTTGTATGTAAAAAAAACTAAACTACCTAATTTATGAATGTAAACGAACAGTTTTACTCAACTAAAGGAACAATTAAAAAAAAGGAAAAAAATATTAATGAGCAAAAAATTTCTTATAATAAAATTTATGTTGCTATTGTACCTATGAATTCTGTGTAATAATATATTCAGGATGCTGTTACAGCTGCCACACTTCTGCAGTGTATCGCGAATGTTCGTTAAGAGCGATGCCACACGGGCGTTGACGGTGCGTTGCGTCGTCGCAACGCTGTGATTTCAAGGCACCGAGGGTTACACGAGCAGAAAGTTTAA